TAATAATATTTTAATTATCGATGTATCGTTTTAAAGATTTACAAGTCTGCTTGCGTCTGTTGTGTTAATATATTCACTTCATATTAAATCTTCTGAAGTTTAAACAGATAACGTTGATTTATAAAGGTAAATCTATCTATTTGCCCTCTATCAGCAAACCAAAAAAAAAAAAAAAAAACTACCTAATATTTTCCTGAAAGTAACCGCAGAAACTAAGGCAATCCACCTTTGCAATTTTCTGAACTTCCTAATGTAAGCAAACATCGTGCACTGCCGTTGGCGTTCCTCAGAAAACCATTCTAACTTCCCTACTCCCCGATGAAAATAATAGAATCGCCTCTCTCATAGGCTGCCGTTTTGGGATGTAGACGCCAGTGCTCATCGTCTATGAACCGCGAGGTTGGCGAGTAAAAATGCAACGGCGCCAACGGGTTATTTCCCGAAGCGCCAACGGGTTCTCTGCGGATGAAAACCCACAGTTTCTCCTTCGTGTCTGTAAAGTATTCCTTTAAGTCGCAAGGTTTCGCGATATTCATTTTCCTTCTGACAAAGTTTATACATGAATCCAAAACATTAAAACCTTCGTAATCGATAAACAACGGCCATTTCATTTTCGATGACATACGTCTGCCTATCGACAGTAAAAGGAAAGTTTGGGCCATCCGAAAAAGCGGCGACCTAGAATAGAAAGTGAATAGAAGGAGGGAAGGTTCAACTCAAACGGTGAATCTTTGCGGCCATATTCCTGTTATCGCTGTGACTTGTGCAAGGAAGTCTGTAATTGCAATATTTTTTCTTTTCTTTTTGAAGCATCAATATCAGCTTGTATTGTATATGGATGCACAAACAGATTTTCGAAAAAGATTCCTGGGATTACTTTTCACGCGTAAGTATTGATTTTCTTTTTTTATGTAATTTGATAACTATGGTAAAAAATATCCAATGTCATGTTGTTTTCTTTCCAGATGTGAAAAAAGGACTTAATAAGAATCAAATATGTTAAATACATTTTAATGTTTCTGTTTATAGCTGGCATCTTTGTTTCTTAACATACAATGATGTATGCTAGGATTAAACTGATAATTGGACGTTTTAGTAATTCGTTTGATAATTTTCATGAAAGTAGACAACCAATTGTTACTATTTTTATGAATTGTACAGAGTTAATTAAGTAATGCTTTCTTTATGTATTAATTATAATTCATTTTAAAGTTTTTTGAACTGTTAAGAATATAATTTGTGCATTTGATCAAGATAACAAAAACTAAATTAAATGCGCATCAATTAAAATAACTGAATTCACATAAATCTGTTTTATTTTATTAATATTTTTTTTCTTGTTATAAGTACGTTGGTTGTGGAAAGAATCTACTTAAACCTTTCATTTAAAAAAAAAATGCAACCTTTGACTATTTTTTTAGATAATTATCTGCTATTAATTTCAAGTTAAATATATTTTAAATGATTCTTTAATAAATTACAATATTGTGAATAAATCAGAAATAAAACTTCTTAAAGGAAAAACTGGAAAGTACACCTAACAGGTTGCTAATAAAGCCTAAACAAATTTTTGAAATATGCAGAAAGGGCCCACCAGCGGTAAAGTCGCTGAACACTGGTAGTTCGGTCCGAGGTTCGAATCCCGCGAAGGGGCTGGCTGCATGGGCGTCTTCGTGGTTTTCCCCATGTGTAACGTGTATACGAGCCAGTTCCCCTTAGAAAGTCCTCCACGAAGGCATCCCTCCTCTTAGGCAGATAGCCCTCGAGGCTTTCCCATACTCACACACACACACACACACGAAATATGCAGAAACATTATTTTTAAAGGCTTGGCTGATCTTTAGAATATGGTAACTGGTAGTTTGGCGACATTTTGGAGGCGATAAAGGTTACTACCTGGGACTTTGGTAATAATGTGAGCAGTACTCAGTTCCGATTACGCATTATTTTGTGTGAGGGAAATGAGAGATCATGAGATATGGCATGTGACATTAATGGACAAATAAATTACAGTTCTTTAATCGGAAAAGGGGGGGTAAATTTGGAAAAACATCTGCAGTACTATAGCTGCAGTATTAAGCTTCATTGTGTGTTGTGTGAAGTAGTGTTGAATTAATTTTTGGATCCGCATGGCGCTATCTAAAGTGAATTCAAAATTTTTAATGCATTTATGTGATAATTCAAAAGAATTGGTTGAATGGTATACGAGTGTAGGATTAATTGCGGATAAGTATGAATGTCCAACATGGGGAATGGAAATGAGATTGTGTGAAAGGAAGGATATTACACAGATAAGTTTGAATGGCTGGTACAAGAAATCTGGTGAAAATGGACATTTTGTGAAACGGTAATGTAAGGAAGGGTACGTGGTTTGCTGAAAGTCGTTTGAGTATGGGTGAGATTTTATTGATTTCTTATTATTGGGTGAATAGATTGCCAGTTGACTATTGTTTATTTATGAATTTTATGTTTGTAGGAATTTGGTATACGTTTTAGTTGAAGTAAACGTGCATGGAAATAATTTAAATATTTGACACTAAGTATTTGTAATGTTTGCGGTATGAATTCGTTGGTGACGTTTATAATATAATAGATAATTTAGAGGTAAAAGTTTTTGGATATTTTATTTATTTTATACGTGGAAATGTTCATCTTTGGAAAGGGTATATACTTTTTCGTTATTAGGTAATTTCATATATGTTCTTTTAACGGGTTAAAGATTCAGAAAATTGTCATGCATTTTCGTGAAATTTTTCTAATTTATGAGAAAAAAGCAGTGTACATGGATATGGTGAAGAGTGTGCGCAACGCCATTTTTGTGCAATTCTGAGATTTTTTTTTTAAGTAAAAATAAGTCGACGTGTACATGGTTTAGTGATATTTTAATTAAATGATAGTTATTTTGTGAATTTTATGTTTGTAGGAATTTGGTATACGTTTTAGTTGAAGTAAACGTGCATTATGAATTCGTTGGTGACGTTTATAATATAATAGATAATTTAGAGGTAAAAGTTTTTGGATATTTTATTTATTCTATATGTGGAAATGTTCATCCTTGGAAAGGGTATATACTTTTTCGCGATCAGGTAATTTCATATATGTTCTTTTTACCGGGTTTAAAGATTTAGAAAATTTTCATGTATTTTCGTGAAATTTTTCTAATTTATGAGAAAAAAGCAGTGTACATGGATATAGTGAAGAGTGTGCGCAATGCCATTTTTGTGTAATTGTGGGATGTTTTTTTAAGTAAAAATAAGTCGACGTGTACATGGTTTATGTGTATGTGTTATTTTGAAAAACGCGTAAGGAGTATGGTATTGTGCACTTTTTCCCAATTTTGCAGTGAATATTTGTCATGATTATGCAGTTTTGTTAGATAAAATTTCTAGCATAAGTGTAATTCGGCTAGTAGATTGTTGGAAGAAGTGTTCAGTAGATAAAAAGAAAAGAAACATGTCTTTACTTCGTGAAGACAAAATGGCGGCGGGAAAAAAAAATAGAGGGTTGCTGTAGGAGAGTTGGTCGCCAAATTTTAGCCAGAAAATCGCCAAGTTACCATAATCTAAAGATCAGACAAAGGGGGCAATGTTATGCACATGCATTTAGATTTCGAACTATTTATTAATGATTTTCTGTACTTAGTAAATTACGGATATTATCTTTATAACTTTAAAACAAACATTTAACAAGTAGCGAAGCATTTCATTATAAATTTAAAATATTTTTACTGGAAAATACATGCACGGTAACAGCTTAGAAACATGTACTACGTTTCACTGCCGTAATGCAATGTTTTGACAGAACAAACATGGACGCCGCTTGTTCGGTGGAGTTTCATTCCCCGATAGTGGAGGAAACTGCGAACCCTCTCTCCTAAGGCTCCTATTAGAGAGCTCCTATATAGAGAGCTCCTAATTACTCTCTCCTACTCTCTCCTAAGTCTCCCTCCTTCTATTCTAACCTCCTTGTTGGCGACAGATATTTTTACGCATGCGTAGCTGTTTCCCTTTTCGTTCGAAGGGAGCCACTCCTGCTGCTGCGAAGCTTTCCTTCTTAACAAAACACAGTCTTTGCTATAGCGGAGCTACTTGTTACATGGAGCCACTCCATTAGCTCAGATAAGCATCAGTGTGAACGACATGAGTTTCTACATTTATTAGTAATGCATCATCTATATTGTTAATTGTCGAGATGATTGAAAACAGTTTGAAGAATTCACGGAGTATAAAGTCTTTACACTCCGTGATCCTAAACAAGGAGATTAGATAAATGTAGTAAGCATCCTTCGTATATCTCGTGCAATGAAAATGAGCCATGAAATGTCATGTTATGACATCACGACTTATCATGGCCACTGTCATAAGCGGACATATGGTCGGTTTTGCTTACTTTCTAATCAGTGTTGTTTGCATATTACTTATTCATCATTGAACAGTCATAAGTCTCCCGTTATAATTTTAATACTTAACATAAAATATTTTGGTATATATATAAAAATAATCACAAGGATTGCAAATAACTGTTTCAAATTTAATAAACTCTAGGTACATGAAAATGTGTAAACCAATGTTTTCATGGTAAAATTTAGATAAGTGTAAGATTTATGTAAATTATGCCTTAAGTTTCATTTTTCGGAGCCTGCAGACATAAGCTCTCATACTCATTGTAAGTTTATTTAACAATGCAGAAAGCAGGAGAAATGAGATTTATCTATTTAAAGTTATATCAATTACGTAAAAACGAAATTCTCATGAATGTACTTCAGAAGTTTCTTTTTATTCAAAAGCTGCCTCAATTTTTTTGAAACGATAATAATATGGATTTACAACTCTTGCAAAATACATTTGAGGCTCTCAAGCTTTCATGAACTGTACTTTGCAGCTCCTATCATCATGAAGTTTCGGCACAATTTACTCTATTTTATTCAAAATTGCTATGTATCAGCAGTCATATGCCTTCTAAACCCACACCTACGAGACTGTCCGAAGTGAAACGAATTAAGTTGTCTGCTTGAAATAAAAACAATTTTAAGAGTTCAAAATAGGTGTATTTAAGCGCTTGTTATGCGTTAATATTATCTAATTAGTCTCTTGTTCTGTGACTTAAATTTGTCATTCTTTATTAAAACACCAGGTACAACATTTTGTAGTTTGGTTGTGAATAGTCCTGAATTTAACTATATTTACAGGTAATAGAGACATTTAAAATACGCGAAAAAAAGTCAGTGAGAGAATATAATATATTAGAATATGTTTCTTTTGATGTTTACCATTGGAGGCAAATTTAAGTTGTTATTCACATCCCTATCAAATTAAAACATATTTTCAAAAATTATCTACAGTTTTTGTTAATATATTATTAATACATTACGAATGTAAATGCTTTTGCGAAACAAACTATAGATATATGTGAAATTTTCATAAAAAGTAAACCCTGGAAGTAGCGTTTTATCTTCACTTAAAAAGCTGGTTGGCAATTTTTTTTTTAAATCTCCGTAATCATGTGAATGGTAATAGCTAAAGTAGGAAAATTAAACTGCTCTAAATTCATGGCATATCTTGATTACTGGAATGCACAATGGAAATCCGAAATACTCACAAATTTAAAACATCTTTACATAATTTAACAACTACTATGATTTTTTTGTATTTAATTTTTTTTTTTTTTCAGTGCTTTAGTATATAAATATTAAGTTACATGGAATTTTATCTTGCTAATTTGTTACCAAAGCTGAAAGATAATTTCTGATAAAAATTTATTTTTGCTGGTTTAGTTGGAATTTTAATCAATATCATTTAGTAATTTTTTAAATAATTATTGGTACTTATTCTTTCATAAATTCTGCAGAATTTTATTTATGAAAATCTCTGTTTTTTGACATGTTAAAACATATTGTTTTTATCAGTATTTCAAAAATCCTATTTTGCATGAAATAGTCTTAGATTTGTTTTCCTAAATTTGCATGACTTAAATTAACAATTTTTGAATGCAGTGAAATTTTAATAAATTGACACTTCATGGTATAAGCATTTTTATGATGACTTAGGCATGTGTTAAATAATTAAGGTAAAGGAAAATTATATATATACTTGTATGTGTTTAAGTTTTTTAAAAATATTTTATTCTATAATCATAAACCAGTGGGTAATTTAGAAATGAGAGTGAATTTGCAAAAAGTCTGAAGTTTGGCTAAATTCCATTTATCTACACCTTTACATTTACTACCCTTTTTTTTTATTATTTTCAACCTTTAAATATTTTTTAGAGCAATTCTATCATGTTACAAATAAAATATTATTACTGTCATGTCTGCATGAAGAATTTCTAGCTTTGGCAAAAATGCTAAAATTTTATCATGAAGTTTAATACCTACCTGTCTACTAGTAGAAAAATGTAATACTATTTGTTCTTAAATTGTAAATGTTTAAATTATAGTTTAAGTATATATTTTTAATGCTGTTTAATTATGCACATTTCTATATATATATATTAGATTATTAAAATGACGGTGCAACAAGTTACATATTGTTGTGATATGGATAAATCTGTCCTTATATCCAATTTTGAGAAAAGGGGATGGATACCTGTAGGTCCTGAAGATGACTGGAATGTCTATTGGTATGATTTCTTTTGAAGTTATTAGCTTTATACATAAAAGAAAAATTAGAAACATTAAGCATCATAAATTTTGGCCTGTAATTATTTTTTTCCCCCATGTTATCCTTAAATATTTTGTCATATTGAAAATAGTATATCAATTAAAATTTGTTTTTCTTTTTTACATGTGAAGGTCTTCTGTTTTAACAGTTCGTAATATATTCAGTGTTGAAACGGGATACAGACTCTCAGATAATCAGTAAGTGCTACTGTCATTTTGCATGATGAAGTTTAACTTATATATTTTAAGCAGTTAAATTAGGAATAATTATGTACTAATGTATAAGGTGATGTCTTTTTTTTTTAACATATTAGCTTCCAGGTTAGGTGCATGAAATTTCATCAGGCACCACTCCAATTTAAGGAAAGAATTCCACAAATATTGACTTATCTTCCCATATTACATTTCCAAGTGTAACAGATTCTTGTTATGTTAAAATTTCTGTATTATTTTCTTCATATGTATCATTATCCAAATATTCAGAATCGTTTGTCTGAGTAATGTACTCTTCTTCACTTGAGTAACTCAAAGACATTTTTATACTCATCTGAGAAAATATCTCCTAAATATTTTACAAGTTTTTTTTTTTAAATCTGATAATAGTCTTTTGTATCATATCTTGCTTACCTAGGACAAGAAGGCCCTGTCTAGATTATCACTTATGTTATCAGAAAATTTTGAAAAAAAATTACATGAAATACATAAAACCAAAAGCACAGTCGAATTAACTGCATTTACTACCACCTCTCTAAAACTATAAATACCCAAGACACAATGACAACTAACATGAGAGCAAAGTGTTATTCCATACCTCACCACATGCTAATGCATAATTGGCTATTTGATGGTACACCACATTGCACACAGCATGGAATCAGCAGTGAGCATGCCAATAATCACAAGCATTGATTTCACAAGTACAAGGATCATCTGATAAGTTTAATAAAATGGCAAGTTGAACACTTTTGATCTCCATTGACAGTTGTACAAACCTGACCATGCATTATAAAAAATGGTATAAAAAATTGCTGCATAGCAGTTATGTTGAATAAAGGGGTTGACTGTGTGAAACATGAATTTATAAATTCATTTGTTTAGGAAATCAAAGCTTCATTCATGCTTAGGAAATTAAAACTTTAAGAAACAGCTTACAATAAAATTTCATGTACTTTTTACCTTCTTTTACTGCAAATAAATGAGTACTCCATTGATTGATCAAAAACAAAAACCACAGATTTTTGTCAATTATTCCTGTATTGTGGAGCATGAATATCTAGTAGAAAAGTTATTTTCTGTACATTAAATACTTCATCTATTTTATAAATCATTGAATAAAAATTCTTTGCAAAAGCAATACAGTTTCTAAAGTTATAGATGTATATTTTTAAAATGTGTTATTTTAATCAACATATTTTGGATTCAATTATAAAAGTCATTAATCTATAATTATGTATTTGCAATACTCATCTGTGGCTAAGCATTTATGTACATGCAAATTAAAAAAAAAAATATCACAATGTAAACAAGTTTGAGTACTTTCTTCTTAAAGCAGCTAAATTAAAAATTTTTATGATGTGTGAAATTTGCACATTGCAGATTAAGCTATTTAGTATACTAATTTTTGTAATTCAACATAGTGCCTGCTTTAACAAGGAAGTATCCGGTTTTTTTAAGTATTTTAGTATCTTCATTTATTTCTAGTTTAACTTCACTCATTATCTTCGAAAGTATTTACTTGTCTTTTTTTCATGCCAAGTTAGATTCCAGACATATATTGCTATGTAATTTGCAGAATTATCAATCATTACCCAAATCATTATGAATTAACACGAAAAGATCTTATGGTGAGAAATATCAAAAGGTATCGAAGAGAAATGGAAAGAGAAAACAGCCCTTTATCAGAAAAGGATGAAAATGGAAAATATGTGCACTTAGGTTTGTTTCTTTAGTATTTATTTTTTTAAAATATTGGACTCCTTGTGTGTGGCAATGTAAAACTGCAACATTAAATAATGTACTTTTGTAGGAAAAATTTAAGGAACAATTGTGAAAGGTATTTTATGTTAATTTTATTAAGTGAAATCCAATGACAGGGAATTGGTAACTTAAGAGCAGCATTATTATATATTCCAATGTGTGATTCACCTTTACTTCATAGAAATATGCAATTTTTTACACTCAGTCTTTCAGCATGTTCTTGAAGGAGTTATTACAGATTCTAATTTCAAAGACTGTACTAGGGTTTGGATAAAATTTTTGTATGGTGGAACATGTCGTTGCGAAGCCATTTAACTGATTGGCATGCTGTTAGAAGAAATGGCAATATATTGGAAGAATGCTACCAAGACAGATACTAATACAGATCAGTAAAGTCTTAAAAGTAGTCAAAAGTGTCTGTAAGAATGTGGAAAAAATGCTGATGATGTGTGCAGACAACTAAGTCAAGGTAGAAAATATGCCACAATAGACCATATTTGGCAACAGTTGCTAATAGAAACAGACAATTGATGTCATCTCATATTTCAAGGGAGTTTGCGGTAGCTGCAGAAATTTGACTATTTAGATACACAGTGAGCAACATGTTGCATTAAAGAAGGCTGTATGTAACAAAATTTGAGATTTGCTGCCTTCTAACTCAGACTGTGAAATGCATCCACTTGCAGTTATGCAGAGGTCAATGCAGAGGTGAGTGCAGTACCACAAACTGGAGTTGAGTTCTGTTTACTGATGAGTCTTATTTTTATTTGGAGAATGATTCCAGATCTGTTACAAAATTTATGATTTGTTCCCTTCTAACTCAGATTGTGAAATGCATCCAGTTGCAGTTATGCAGAGGTCAATGCAATACCACAAACTGGAGTTGAGTTCTGTTTACTGATGAATCTTATTTTTATTTGGAGAGGGATTCCAGATGTGTTACAAAATTTATGATTTGCTCCCTTTTAACTCAGACTGTGAACTGCATCCAGTTGCAGTTATGCAGAGGTGAGTGCAGTACCACAAACTGGAGTTCAGTTCTGAGTTGATGAGTCTTATTTTTATTTAGAGAGGGATTCCAGATGTGTTACAATTTGGAAGGAGCAAAACACATGCAGTAAACCTGAAAACATCTGTGAAAGGCATGGGTGAATCATGGTATAGATGGGCATAACTTTGGCCACACTGATGTGTACATTTTTATCAGTGCAGCTCTGAATGCTGAAATATACAGAGATGAGGTTCTTGATCCATATGTCAAGTTATTTTGGGTTACAACTAGCAATAACTTTCTGCAGTACTTTCTAATTATCTGTACTATGAAAAATTGCTAATTCATTTGTGTGTGAATTGCTGAAAAATATTTGTTTGACTAATCTTTATGGCTCACAGGTACTGTTCTTTTCATAAATAATAATAAAAAGAAGCATTTTGTAAGAAACAAATTTTATGAGAAAAAATCTGTATGGCCAATATTTACATTTTTACATCCAGTGGATACTAGTTCAGTGGAATGGTAGTTAAATTTGAAATGTGTAAATCCATTTGTACTTTAACACATATATGGTAGCATACATAGATTGGCTGTTGTCATGTGTATGCTTCAAAATAAGTGAAAAACATAGCATTTCTACTGAATGTTAGAACTGAAGTGGTGTTGACAATAAGAATCTTTCTTTTAATAGACATTAATGTTCATCTTCATGAGCTGCATTGGTAATCAGTTATCTTGAGGCCAAAGGAATTTAACGAATAGAGTGACCCACATATTCTTTGGATTTAAATATGTTAGGACGTGTGGAATGCACTAAGATGTGAACTTGCATTATTGCAGCCACCATGTAGCACTCATGAGGAACTTCAAGATACTACTTATCTGGATGTTATGACAGAAAAGTCCTGATCAATCTGCTACACAGCATGGGTAATCACTGTAAAGCTTGCATTTTGATCAGGAGTGATTGCACATGCTATCGATTTTTTTTTGTTTTTGTTTCTCTAAAAGGTTGCTGTACAAAATTTTCCCTACCATACTTTATATCACATTTTCTATGTTCTTATTTAAATTTATTTTTTGCAAAAATAGGCAGTTCTGCATTTTGAAGCTATGCCAGGCATGATAAAATAAAGATCCTCTAAGTTCCGTATTCTTAGCTGCAAAATTATTCAAAGCTACATGCATTTTTGTAGTTGTTCCTTTCTGTTAATGCATTCAAGTATTTACTGTAAAGCTGTTTTAAAAATATTTCAAAGTATATTATGGTGAAAATTGGTAATGAAGTTTTAAAATTTGATATTTTTATGTAGTTTTTAAGTTTATATCATATTATAAAATTGACTGTAGAATTTAAAATGAAAGATTTAATTCTACAATCAGACTTATAAATTAAGAATATGTGTTGAATATTTCAAGGGTACTTTCTAGTTTTCCTTATCTTGACCAAAAAGCCACGAAAAAATATTGAAGTGCCTTTGTACCAAAAGTATTGATATAGCATCCATCTCGCAGTATTGTCAAAAAATATTTATGTTGTGATCTAGGTATGCGTAAAACATCCCATTAAATGGGGAACTCATGCATGCAGATAACCAGAAAGTATCATTTTAAGAAATGATTTTTAATTATCTCCCCTTTTGTTATTCATAATTTATTCATTTCCCTTTTGTTAAGTTTCAGTTTGTGGTAAAAATGTCTTTAAGAATGATTTACAGCTCATTCGCAGAAGTTACTAAGTGACAATATTGTTACGAAATGTACAGGCACGGTAAGATGGCTTCCCCGCAAAGCAGTTTTAGGGTTGCCATGAAATGGCAAGGGTAGGCAGGGTTGCCATATTTGGTGAGAAATTGCCCATTTGGAGACAAAATTGGCAATGTACCATGGACGGATGGAGAACCTTCTGAAACGAATTCTTACCGGTTTAGCCCAGAATGTTCCCGAACACAAGCCGAAAGCTATATAAATCCTGCTGGTCCACAGTCAGTTAGTGTGTGTGTCTCGTCTAGCCAGTCAGTCCGTGAGGAGTAGATCGAGTTGAAAGCCGAGCTGTGAGTGCCGAGTGGGTCGTCGAGTGCACCGAAGGAGTCTGTTAGTGTATCGCAGTTAGTGCATCGGCGAGAGAGCATGTTGAGCTCCGGGAACAACTGAACCGAAGAGTCCGGAGCTGTGCTCGTGTGTCATCAAGTGCATCATGAGTTGTAGCGTGGAGTGTCTCGAGATTACGTGGAGTTCCAGAGCAACCAAGTGAAGTTGGGAGTTGTACTCTGGTGCTTCGCAGGAAGCTGTCTTCACCATGATAGCCTGATAACCTGAAGGCTGTGTCGCTGATTGTGTCAGCGTATTTATAGTAGTTCATCGACGACTGTAAAACGTGTTTTGGAGCTGTCCTGACAATACTGGCTAATAAAGTGGGTTTCGATACTTCATCAAGTAGTGTCGTCATTATTCACTCCAAATCCTCACGAACCCCGTACGAACATGAAGGAAGAAAATAACGTAACAGTATATTAAAAGTGCCATGCTTAAAAGAAAAATTTGCTACCATTCTGTTAAATGCTCGTTTTTGAAAATGTATTATTTAAAGTCACCAATATATAATATAGGTTTTCTTATTTTTATTTAATTGTACTTAAAAATAAATATCAATTACTTAAATGTATGATTTACTGTATATTTCTGTGTATAAGCTGAGTATTTTTGGAACTTTTTCTGAAGCTAAATTACGGAAGTCAGCTTATGCATGGATCCATTAATCTTGTAAAAAATGTAGGTGCTTTTCCATTAGCCAGGTGCAAGCAATAAACTGCCAGTTATTACACTATTTTACTTCTTAAATTTATATTTCTTAAGTTTATGAAAAAAATTTTAATTGTAACTTGTTTTACAAAAATTAGTTGTTTTATTTTCAAAACTGTTTATATTGGTGGCATTCTTTCCTCTTCTTTCAAACTTGTTTTTCATTTACAGAGAAATGCTAAGCAGGCATAGTGTTGTTGGAATTTTCAGCAAACTCAGTCATCTGTAGTTTGAAACTTGCCGTATGGAAATTTCTTTTCTTTTTTCATCGCTCAGACAAAATAAAATGGCACAGAAAATAAGACTAGTATAGGTAGGACAGATCGTATACAAGACAACAAATAAATGGAAGTTAAAACTATCATTGTTGGCATTTTACTTTGTAATAAACTGATTGGAAACTATTCCCCTTATTTTACTTGCTTGGCAATGTTTTTGCCCTCAAGGTGACATGTTTGAGCATTACAGGAATTGTTTTCAATTTCATCTTATATATGGACTTAGTATTTTGGGTAAATTTTTGAAGAAAAAGCACAATCATGGCTTATACATAAATGAGCTTATATTTGAAAATGTATAGTGTTAATGTTTTTTTGAAGTCAATCAACAATTACAGTCAACATTTTATAAACTAAAACTGCATGGGGGAGGGAATTAAAGTATTGTGTCATTCAGAAATTTTGGTAGTTTTTAAAATTGAAATGTATTTACTTCTTTGTTACTACTGATAAGGAGTGACATTCATCAGAAAGATTGTTTAAATTCAGTCTTTTCTGCTCATATTGCATAATTCTGGCATGTGTTGTGACATATTTTTGTTTTAGGATGTGTTAAGAATGGAGAATACAAAAATTCATTTTCATCATGTTGTGCTCTTTTATTTTACATAATGGAAAAATGCTTGCCAGACTACTTATAAAATTTGTGATATATATGGACAAAATAGTGTTTCTGATGATACAATTTGAAGGCAGTTTGATAAGTGTTATAAATAAAAAATTCAGCATTGAAGGTCATGCCTGCTTTGAATGACCATCTTCTGTAATAAAAACCTAATAAAAGAAGCTGTCACTGAAAATTCAGAAGCTATCAGACAGACTAAAAAGTACAGTGCAGTATCATTTAAAGAAAAATGGGTATGTTAGCTGCTGTGATGTATGGG